TTCTTCATGCCAGGTCGTTTGATTGAGCTCAGAACAGCTCAATGATTGAGGCGCAAACTTAACATCCGAGGGGTTAAAACCACACCTTGACATCTCCACCTCTGCTGTCTAAGCTCGCGCAATCTCGTCATCGTCATCACTGTCAGTTGTAAGAACCACGTACTTGTCGTACAGTGATTGTAGCTGCCACAGCTTCGTTCACCGCTGATTTGGGGAGGTGGGGTAATGGGCTGAGCACCGGAGGTTGGAGCTGATAAATTCGTACGCAAATACAGCGCTGTCAAGTGGAGGAATTGGGAAGGGAGCTATGCACTGAAAGCAATAGCTTGGATGCACGAGCACCATTGAGGGTGCGACTGGGCCAGGTCTGGTAACTTCTCTAACCATTGATATGGCCCGTCTCGGAAAGACGGTAATGACCAGTGCAGCTGAGTTTGCTGGTAACGGCTTTTATACTTCACTGCCAAGTGGTTGTTTGACCACCTCTGGCTTGTTTCCACCCCTCACGTGGTTGTGCGGAAAGAACCTTTCGAGGAAGTTGGTCGACTAGCATACGCGGCACGTAGCCAATCCAGAGCAACATGTGCAGTGTGATCAGTCCATCTATCGTGAGTTATTTTTTTTCGAAAACCATTCGACGTACTTTCCACCAGACTCGGAAAATGCTCCGAAGATATCGATGGTCAAACACTGAAAGTCTTTTGACGTCCTCAGCGCACAACGGCCAGGTTTCTGATCCGTATGGTAGTATGGAGCGCACCGCAGTATTGTAAACTCGAACCTTGACAGAGAAGCTGATGTCACGCCTACGCCACAGGTGCCGCAGGTTCACAAAAGCTGCTCTGACTTTCCGGATCCGGATGAAGATATCATCTTTCGTGAGACCACAGGGACTGATACAGCCGCCCAGGTGAAAAATATGTATATTATTTCAACCGGTTCATCCGCAAGTATGAGACGAGGGTTCGAGCCCACGCAGTCTTGCAGTAGCACTTTATACTTTGCGGGAATGAAGCGCATGCCAAACCATGAGGCGGAATTATCTAGATTATCCATGTTTATCATGTTTTAGCCCGAATATTTCGTAATTCATTTTTTCTTCTGAAGGGCGATCAATGTTAACATTCTATTCGCCTGCATATACCATCTCTGCAGGCTGTTGCAGGAAGCCAGCTGAACTGTTCTTCGAAGTAGTCAGTCCATCTTTCCAGTCGACATTTTTGCGAGTGAACTAAAGAGTCACCTTTTTCACTAATCGTTTCGATGACCTTTGCTTTCCTAGGGCCAGTCGACCGCATCAGTTGATATAGGTCACGGCTATTTCCCGAAGCAAAAGCTTTCTCCATCTACCGAGCTTTCGATCTCCATCATATCTCTCCCCTAGACTCTTCAATATCTGAGCAATCTGGAAGTATCAGAACCCTCGTTCTTCCTTCAGGTGGAAGGAAGGCCCCGGAAGATTCCTACAGCTGAACAATTACTATTATTAAGATTGTCATCAGACTAGCGACCATGGACTTGCCACCTACTTTGAGGGGTTCAAACTGTTTACCGCAGTCGCTTTGTTGCCCCGAAGCAATGTGACTGCACGCTGGATTTCCAGTGTCAATGAGAGACCGGTGTAGACCTTCCACTCGGGTCAAATTGAGCCTTCCGGATAGTGAGTTGGTTTGCACGGTTTGACTGTTCTTCAAGTGTACAGCCCATTTTTCAAGGTCCCATCCTCTTCAGAAGGCGCTTCACTAACACCCACCCTCCTCGGAAAAGTTGATCAGACTGGCTGGAAAGGATGTGATTGTTCACTGTTGCAAAAGCTCTATCCATTTCTGGGGCTGTTGCGATCTACCATTGATCTCTATCATTAGTCTATTCGTTATTCGGCGTTTCAGTGGCCTGTGCGTGCCACATTCGTATGTTGGTGGTATAGTCCTTCTGGCCTCAATCGGTGTTGCTTATCGCGACGAGATCCTGTGCCCGTCATAGTATGCGAGCGATCTCGGATAGACAGTTTCAAAGGCTGCGACCATGACTTCTTTCACTTTTCTACAATCGTCATTCATATCAAAATTGCCCGTCGAGTACTGGAAGCTTCTGGGAGAACATAGAAGCTTTGCAAGTGATCGGCTTAATGACCCCAGATTAATGGTGTGTTCCCTAGAGGAAGCAAATAGACAGACGCGCCCACACAATGCAGAAGTCAATTGGTGTACTCCAAAGTGAACAAGGATCTCGAAACGAAGCTCTCTATTAATAGCTGACTGCAATGTGGCCTAAATGAGTCAAGTGCTCGTTTGCAGTTGGTAGCCTCCAAATCAGAAGGTATGATCGCTTGTGCTGCCTAGAAAGTCACACACGCAATTTAATACTACTCGTGTTGTTTAGGTGATAAGTCTGGCCCTTTCGCAAGCGGACCTAGGAGCACATCTTTCGTATGTTTGACTCATGCTAACAACCTGTCAACAACCGGTTTTCCCTTGCTGCACATATTATCCCTGTTGACACCGCGACTTAACCACCAGTCAGACGGAACCACTATTTTAACGGCGCGGAAGAACCGTAAGGCACATATTGGAAGAGACGGAGATGACAAGGTTAATCAAAGCAGATACTAAGCGATCGTTCCTGTGCAAAACAGCTCTCTCTCCGTCTGACATACTTAACGACAGACCGTCGAATTCCAGTCGAGAAACTGAGTCTCGATAAATCCCAGCAACTATCGCCATTTATTCCCCGGAATTACCAGATAGCAATTAAGGTATTCGAGAAGAACCTAAAATGTCGTGCAGAAAAGCGACTATCGTTTGCTAAGTTCTCCGCTAAAACGCCCTACGCAGTAAAATTCAAAACTCTGACACGCACGTCATCATCTGCAGCTGTAAAACCCGCATACTTGCCGTACAGAGGGCACTACTGCTTATGGCTTGGGCAGGTGGGGTAGATAGCTAAGCATTGGAGATGGTAACAGACATAATTGACGAGTAAACACAGTGGTGTCAGTGGACTTTTCATTGGGGAGATCTGGAGGCAAGCCATGCGCTGAAGGAAACAGCTCGGACAATTGAGCACCAGTGACAGTGTGACTGGGCTACGTCTGGCAATATGTCTAACCGTTAAGGTGCCTCATTTCGAGGTTTACACCCAGGGAGACGGCAATGACCAGTACAGGTGAGTTTGCTGGTAATGGCTGGTAATTTGCTGTCAAGGCATTGTTTGACCTACCCTTGCACGCTTCCACCCTTCATGTAGCTTTGCAAAAAAGTCCTTGAACAAATTCGGTTAACCGGCAGCGTTCGCGTACCCTTTTCGAACACACGAGCTGTCGACGTGCCCCAATCTGCAAGCACTTACTCTTCATGCCATATTGCATCAATCAGTGTTGTAAGATGGGTTGCCAAGGGTTCTCCGCCTCCATTGAAGACGGTTAGATACATGCTGTCCGGTCCTGGTGCCTTTTCACGTTTCAGTACGGATATTTCGTAGTTCATTTCTTCTTCCGACGGGCGAGTAAGGTTTCTACTGCATTCACCTGTATGAACAGTATCCAGAGGCTGTGTAGCAGGGGGCCAGCTAAAGTGCTAGCCAGAAACGGCAGATGATCAGCACGCAAGTGAAGGAGTCGCTTCCTCTTGTTCGTGTGATGACTGAGTGACTGTTCTTCGATCGCCCTCCTGGCATGGTTGAGCCTTCTGGAACGAATGAAACTCGAATGAGGTGCTCAACACTACGGTTTGGGTTAACTAGGATACATTTGCCGGAAAAAGAACTGGAATGTCCAAACGATAGTGCTTTGGACAAGGGTGAACTTACCTGCTGCAACGAGCCTTGTTTTTCATTTCCGGTGCTGTGGGGACATTTGTCAATTCGCAGTAGCATTGCGACTGCCGAAAATTATCAGAAATTCAGTTAGCGAGTTTATATCAATTTATTCAGCTGTCTACCGGCAATGTCGTTTATTCCTGCGCATTCGCTTATCTACCATATCCTCAAGACTAGCAGTTGACCATTTATTTTCGACTTTCTCACTCAGCTGCGCTAAGAGACATGAGGATTTACCTTTCAGTTTGAAAATGTGTGCCACCACCATAAACAGCCGAATATTCAGAGTGGATTTGAAACGGTTTCATACACGTGGGGCGCACTCGCCTTTCGAGTATTATGAGGTTTGAATCATTCGCGATCCATTTTGGGATGTCATCTATGTTACTGTACAACAGGGTTGGTTTGCGACTGTGCGTCTGCGTAGCACTTTGCTCCTGCTCAACAGACTGACGAATAGAGGAGCAGGCCGATGGGTATTCGACAACGGCAAGCGTTATCGTCATCGGTGACGAGAGCACTAACTACTCGGCGATGAATTTGGTACGAGTCGGTAAGAACACGGTGCCTTAGTACTTAGAGTCAGGGAGTAGACTGAATGCTGGCAAATCATGTCAGCTTTCACAATATTTCGGATTTTCTCCGAAAATTGTAAACCACTTCCACACACTTTTGCACCTGACACAACTTCGCGGGCCAGGCTACAAAGGAGAAAGCGTGCGATCTAGTTCCTATTGTCTTTCTTTCTGGAAAAAACAGCTCCACTGAAAATATATTTTCAGATCTCCTAAATTTGTTTCCTCGATTAGGAGTGCTGCAGTTCAGGCAGCAGAAGCCAGCTAAACCCGTAGTGATACACTGGAATTAGCAACTTAATCCAAACCAAGTACCGGAAACAAACCTCGAAAAAAATGATACGGTCTGATCAATAATTGGTTACAAAGAACGAGCATTTATTAAAGGTGGTTATATCCATTTGAACCAAAAGCCAGAGATATCATGAAACGAATGTGAGGAGCTGATAGATTTGGTGGTGAGACAGTGAGCTCGGATGTCGATGTCAACCCACGGGTTGGCTCTAGACATCCTTCGAGTCATATCACTATTGATATTCGTCAGTTGGTTTAAGATCACTGTAGCAGCTACTGGAAGAAGGATGCAAACCATTGACTATATACTTGTGATGAAGTTGGATCTCCAAAGCAATAATCAGTACAGGAGAAAGTGAACAGCAACTTTGCACAGTCGGATAAGCGACGCAGTATAACAGGTGTTGCTGCCAATAGTGGTGACATGACAGCGGTTACCACTGCGCATATTCAGTCATCCTCTGAAACCGAAGACAATGTCGTATCCTTGATTGACGTTTCTCAACAAGGATAACTTAAAATTTCAATCCGTTAGTCCAAAATACAGTGGTGCTTAACAGGAAAGTTAGATATGCATTATGAGCTCTGTAACTTTGTAGGTAACGGATGGCCCACGAGAGCTCTGTAGACGAAGGCAATATGCACTCGAAGGAAGACAGTGCAAGACAAGTATGTGCCCAGGAAATCAGTAACTACTTTTATTGCCTGCATAAAAATATTCAGTCTCGAAAATGAACAAAGGCTCTAATTGGCGGTAATTCCATTCACCGTTTGATAAAAAAAACTGAATCGTACGTACATGATTCACGATAAAAGTTATGCTTCACATCCAAGAATAAAAGAATGAGTTGCAGTTAACCGAAGAATAAGAACACATGAAAGAGATTCGTGTACAGCGAAGCAGTGGCGAAATCAATTCGGAGCCAGAAGACTACATGAGAGGGTAGGAAGCCATTGAAGCTACGCCACAAAGATTGTTATGGTTACGCAGGATCTTCACATAGCCATTTTCTCCCCAGTGCGGACCCCAGCTGTTTTTTATCAACCAGTAGGGAATTCCATTTTCTTCCCCGTAGCCAACAAGCAATACACCGTGATCCAGACCATCCGGCGAACATTGTTCGTCAGAATAGACACCTAAAAGATAGAGCCCAAGGAGAGGGAAAGAACATGGAACGTCAAATCGTGGTGCAGTGCTGAAGGCAGAAACGATTTTAGTATACACAGCAACTATGGCACGGTGAAAAGAAAAAATAGTAACGTGTACCCAGCCTCCCCGATGAAATCCTATTTTCAAGATAAGAGCGAAACGCCTAGACGTGAAATTCATCTGTATCACAACCAGAGTGAATCCCAAGGAGTGTTGTCAGCACGAGACTAACCTGATTGAACAAGCTGAAAAGTATGGTTGGTACACGCAAAAAACCATAATAGAAGTTATGATGTTCGCTGCTGAGACAGACAGAGATAGAATAATGGCATCTTCGATCTTGGAAACCGCTCAACTGAAAGTCAGACTGTCACAAAATCAGTGCAAGGATGAACTTTAGGGTAGACTTCGAAATCGCAAATGTCGGAAACCAGAACTACCCAGTTCACTGAGGCCGCTCGCAAAATACTGTTGTAGGACGCTCACAAATACACAAAAGTGCGCAGTGCATTACCGGAACTATTTTGAATAACAAAGCGCACGGATAACAAGTAAAGGACTGAAATTAACAGAACCGTATTGGACATAAATCCGAGCTCAAACAACATTGATACGTCGTATTGATCAGTGCTACACGAGAATACCTACAAAAGTATTGGCCACAGTATGTGCCAACATTCTAAGAAAGCTTTTCGGCGGTTCAAAAAATCTGATAACCTATGTAAGACAACGGGATATGTGGCAAATTCGTCAGGGAACTGCACCATTTCGCACGGATGAAGCGAAGAACGATCTGTCACTGTAATAACAACCAATCAATAAGAGCCAACGAACCGAGTTCCGTATTCTTCATTTGTTTGTAATGATGTATGACAAAATAATCGTTCAGCTTCAACACATCTTCAGCGTCTAACTGCTAAACCACTGGAAGGAAGCATGAGGACTCAGATACTGCCTGGTTATCCAAACCCAGCAAAAGCGGTCGAGCTTCAGCTTTGGTTTGAACCGCGAACAATCTGTGCTTCGACCACTGAGCTATCTTGAGCTCAACTCTCGGCAGTTCGCTGACAGTACTGTTTTAGTCCAAATCAAACAAATTTAATAAATCATTCGATCTCGTAGTCAGGAGACTATCCTCCTATCACGTGCCAATCGCGGTAGTAACATCCAATTTATTTCAGGTAAATAGTATAACAATCTTTTAACGCGTCGAAATACTGATAGCTCGGACGTTTATTGGTTACCAATCGGATGGTTTTTAATCCGTTCACCCAGCAAGCGATTAGCATTATACGCCATTATACGAGGAGACATTATTCGTGCGAACAAGACTTTCCATCCGAGGACAAAGTCTTCAATTAGTGTATATATATATATATATATATATAGTTTAGCTGTAGCACCCTTCCGGTGCCTAACTGCCATGCCACCCGGAGGTTGCACGAGGGCTGGGATACTGCCAGGTTGCCCAAGCTTGAACAGGGGAAGTCGAGAGGCAGAGGTCGGGTTCGAACCCGGACTTCCCGGTCAGTAATACGCGCTCTAACCACTTCGACCATCTCGCCCTTTTCTTAGAAACAAAGTACCCGAATTGAATTTGATAACCACAGAGAATCAGCTGGACACATGTATTAACCACACTCTTCACGTCACTCATCTTTCACCACTTTCTTATGGTCGATGAGGCAGCGACTCGGTAATAACCTAGTAGTACTGTGTTGACCCCATCTTCATACTACGTCAGATAGTAGAACAACACTGTGTGACAGCGACCCGTAATTTTGGCAATCCTGGATTTTAAAAGCGCACCTTACTCTATTGACCGGTTTGTTCTCTTGAACGCGCCTGTTTAGTAGTGCCCTGGAATTTGTTAAATGTAGTAAGTCTTGTGTGTTTTCGGACTTGCGAGTGCACGATAGTTTGTGGATGCTCTCTGAAAGGTGATGGCAAATAACGAAGACTACTCCCTCCATTGCTCTTCAATTTCCTTATCGACGAGCTCAAGAGACGAAGGTACAGAAAACTTGGATGGTTTAACAGTAGCATACCAAAACCTCGACTCGGAAAGCACACACGACATGGTTCACACCAGCGACGTGAAGAAAACATCCGTGCATAGCAGCCATGTCACCCCGAGGAAGCACAGTGCTGGAGAAACTACCACGTTGCCCAACCCTAGATAGGAGCAGTCGAGGTGCTGAGGTTGATCTCGAACCGCGGACTTCCTGGTTTTAATCAGTAAGCTATCCCGAGCTCGCAACATAGGAACTGGCCGAGGTCATCTCGCCATTGGGCATGTGTTTAACACCCCAAAATGTAAGGCCAGATGCCTGGACAGTCAGACAATGAACACACCGCTTGCAATCGAGAGGGGAAAACCCGAGGTTATGGATTACTTCAATCATATTGAAAAATATGTAAACCTAGAATGTGATGTGGAAGATGAGGCTAACGCACGAAAGTTCAACTCGGAGTACGTCCATTGATCTGACACTCCTATGACAGGTCTCTTAATCTCAAAAAAGTGTAGATCTGGGGACGATATGGACCGTTTCGTTACGGGATTGCAGAATGTGACCAATGTGTGCAGGTGAACTAAGACGTTTCCATTTCCAGACACTCGTTGTTCCAAAACTACGGCTGAACGACAGACGGTGCAGGTTAGGATTGCTAATCCACGTCAGTTCCCATGTAGATTGTCCGAATGAGTTGCTGGAGGTGTAAGTGCCCCATACTGAGTGTGAATGCCCGGCAAAATGTACCTTCCCTCCTCTCTTCCGTGCACCTTTCAAAATTGAGTCTTCAAATAAATTATGACTGCGGAGCAATGACGCGAACTAACTAACCCAAAGGTCCCCCGTTCAAATCCAATCCCGAATGCTCTTGTCCATGCTTAGGGAGCTTGTAGGCATCTCAGTTCTCGTGCTTCCTTCGGATGGCAGGGAAGCTGAACGAAGTAAACTAAGTCATCACTGTAAGTGAACTCAAAAGTATTGTGATACGCTGATGACAATGCCACTAATGATCCTCACGGTGCGAAAGTAGGGATGACCCAACTTTATCACGTCCAGTTGAGAGATTTTGGAAGACGGATATGTGAGAAAACTTAACATCAAGTCTCACGGGCTACAGAACCCGGACAATTCACTCATTTGTCAGAACATTTGACGGGCGGGTTGCACTGACGTACGCACAACTAGTGCAAAACAACCGCGTCAATGTCTCAACCCACTTGCATGGCCGTGTGAACGTGGCTGAGTCAGGATTGATTGGACATTTCGGTGAGCATGTCGGGAGGATCGAAAGGTGAGATGCGACGTGCTGATCGTCTGTTGGGGTTCATTCCATCAGCAATGAAAAAGGAGCTAGTAGCTTTGACGGTTTTAGTCTTTCGTGCTGAGTCAGATCCTCCCAAACTTGAGTTATCACCTTGTGTGGCGGTCGGACTTCAGTGATGCAATGATCATGCGGGCTACACTGGCTGCAACTCAACTCCTAAAGGTTCAAGTATATGTTGTATATTCGCTGTTTTTCAAATGTTTCATCATTTATTGCTAAATCACTTTTTCCGTTTCAGCTCTTAGTGTCAAAGTTTTGGATGAATAAAGCCTAGCTTCCGGGACTTCAGTCTTTTCCATTCTTATTATGATTGTCCCTGCACTCTGTCCCTCGTCGAATACAACACCATACCAACAAAGCAAAATGGGAACAGTCCGACAAATACCGGTAAACCGTATTACGAGGCGGTCTAGACGTTAATCCGCACTGTATTTTGCAACAGTGTGAAGGCATTAAGGTGTTTCTTTCGCGTGACAAGTACATCTATATTTACTGAAGAGTTGCTGCTTCCCACGAGGAAAGACGGTTTAGAAAAGGTGGGCCATAAACCCAGTGCCGGTAGCTAAACACTTGACTGCCGCCACCAGAACGAGTTAATACGGTCGAAATACTTTAAAAACTAGATAGCGGTGCCGCTCAGAAACACTTGCTGTGCGTAGCTGCATTAGGACTCAGACAGCTTTGCATTATCCCATGCATCCTCAACCCCCCTGCACCCAAGTAGGTCAGACCATTAAGTTACTGGTTCCGGGATAGATCCCTGAAAAAAACTACAAAAACCGCTGTTTCACAGTTCAGACTTTTGAGTCGGAAGGGGTTCTGAACAAAACCCTTCATGCTCCCACTACCTCGTGGATCAGACTTTCGAGCCCAAGGATTAATGTGGGGTAACTCAGCCAAACCCCGTCCTTCGGCCTGAGCAACCGTGAAGTGGCATTCACCCTACATGTGACAGTCCGCTCACTCCTGTCAACACGACCCTCGTCCGGTCAATTCTGACTCCATTGGCTGACAATCACCTAACCGTTACCAATGCACTGGATTGGGTTGAATAAATTAGGAAAACGGTGGCTCCTAGTGATGGGCTGGTGCACGCTAGCGGCATATGGCAGGTGTGCCATGTTATCATTGATATTCACCTTAAAGACAACAAAGGTGGTTGATACTGATGCTTGAATGCCGTTCAACCACAACGTTTACTTAGTTATAGGTAAAGCCTCGAAGCGGAAAACAGAAGACTGACCAGAGAAGAGACCTGATGCTGGGACACTACGACAGGCATCCCGCAGTGCCTACACCCTCGAAAGCTCAACCAGACAATCTACAAAGAAACGAATAGCACTAGCGCCGTTACTTGGAACATCAACGGGACCCCATTGGGGTGTCGGACCGCGCCAACAAAAACCAAACAGCTCGTTACATCGTTCACGTCGTCCTACCAAGTCACGCGTTTTACACCTCGTCGTTTGCGCCGTTCTCGGTTACTAACGGAGAACGATACTGGTCTCGGTAGACGATTTGGCATGCGCAACACATGGAGGAACCATCCTGTTGATATCATTACATTTCCCCGTCATTGATTCACCTGCTACGCAACTCAACAAGCGTTTTCTAATTGCCCCGTTACGGATTCGTTGACGACATCCGGTATCGCCTCACTTCCTCAGCCCTAAACCACGTAAGTTGGCTCCAGCTGCTGCCTTTTCGGTCACCGGAAAACGGTAGAGCGGGTAAGATGTAGCGTTAGCGGCACGATCAGTTAGTTGGCGGTGTACATTGCTCTGATGCCCTACAGCCATGAGTTGAAGCAACCAATGTTGAAGCATAAAGTGGGGGAGGAGGGGATCCGTTTCGTCACGAAGAGACTGGAACTTATCGCAGTGTGACGGTTTATGTGCATTCGTGACCCACTAAGCCATACTGGGTGGTGTCCGTCCGCCACTGTCTCTCATACCAGCTTGGTCAATGGTTAGAAATCTAGCCAACAATCTCTCCTGGATTGCCTGGCTTGTGGGTTGAAACTTGGCAAGTCGTTCTATTAAAATTGAAATGCACTTGCGTTTTCCGCCAAACGACGCTGTCTTGTGGTCAGGCTTTTGGGCCAAAGGCGTTGTTTGAAGACCCTAATCGTCCTCCTGTCTAGGTGTGGGCCTCCTGATGGTATCCCAGCCCGTGTACAACCACGAACTGCACACATACAAATAAACTCATGCCGCGGCGGCCGCCTTGCAGTGCCATCAGCCTTGTTGCCTTACTCGCTACATATAGTAGGGTGGGTAAGTAAAAACAGACTACTGTTGACGCCTCCCTTTTTCCCCTTTCATATACTTCCTCCCCCGCCACCCACCCCATTAATAACTCTCTCCTTGTAGGCTTAGCACTTAGGACTGATGACTCTGTTCGTCTTGCATCGGTTTTGTGTGCAGCATCTGCCCGTCACATGGCACCGACACCCTAAGGTATCTACAAGTAAAACTTCAAGCCCCAAAACCCAATCTATCTGGACACCTTCAACGCCCGCACTCTGAGGCAAGCAGGACAATAAGCTGCTCTTGCTCTCACATTGGACTCGCTTGGCATTGATGTGCGCTGTGTCTCAGAAACAAGAATCCAAGATGCAGGCACAGTGATTGAGCTGACCACATCAGTCCCCACTCTCTTCCGACTGAGCACCTCTGGTAGTCCATAGGCTGCTGCAGCGGGATGTGCAAGAGTTGGTATCGTCCTGAGTCGCCGGACGAAAGTACCCTTGGTTGACTGGATATCCGTTGATAGTCGCATCTGTGTGGTTCGTCTGGAAATGTCTGGGGAGCCTCACAAGCGGCAAGTTGATAGATGTGTGTTTATCGCGTCTGCCTACGCCTCAACTGACTGTAGCTCCGACGCCGTCAAAGTCAGGTTTTATGATGCCCAAATGCCCTGCTGCGGCGACCTAATGCGCAGATATCTTGGTGGTTGCCGGCGAATGCACAAGTGGGAAGGCTTAAAGTATTCAGGACATAACTCGACGAATTACCAGACAAGTGAAAGTGAGCACGTGTACCGACCGTGAAGTCTGTTGCACACAGAAATCCAAGGAAATAGAAGAGTCCCAGAAAGCCAGTAGTACCCGAAGATTATTTCATTTGATCCGCTCGACTGACCCCCGGAAACCTCCTGTGAGTGAAACTATCAGGGATCTCAGAGGTTTATGACTGCCGAGTTTCCGGTCCGGATGACCCCCCGCCCGCATTCTGACAGGGGACGTGATGAATCCTCGGATTTCTAAGGTGTCCAGAACTATAGATAAAGTCTGTTGGAAGAAGCAGATATTAACACACTCAAAGGATGCATTCAGCAGTACAAGCTAAGGTGGCAGAGTCATTGGTTACGCATGTCGGGGACAGCACTGTATACGGCGCCTAATTCGGAGTGGCGGAAACCTAGAGGTGAACAGAATTTGACGTGGCAGAATTAGCTGTACGTTGCTTTCGAAAGCTTTCGCGCTGTTCGCTTCCCAGGATGGGGTCTACTAGATCCTGTCTGTGTTTGACTGGAGACTGAACAATATGGTTGCCGACCGATGTCAGTGATGTTCATTCTGCCGGCTTCTACCCAGGTTGTCCGGCTGTGTTGGAGGTGTAGGCGTCTCCTCTACTTCTTGTAGGTTAACCCTAGATACACTCTGGCCTGATCCAGCAAGTGAAATCACTCGCAAATCGAGTCCCACTACGTAGTGGTACCTTGTTCGTTTCTATGGTAGGTATTCCTCTTGGTTTTTCGGCAGTCCGGGCAACAAGTAAAGATCACTCGAACGCCAACCTTCCACACAGTACTTAAACATCAAGCTCGAGCACAAGAATTCGGGTAATATTCGGACTGGCTAAAAGTGAACTAAAACTTACTAAAACTTACCTGATTTATAACTCATAAAGGTTGGAAGACCGGCGTTAATTGCTACAGATATAGGACCATGATGTCCGACGGCACTTTTTAGCTCGGACTCTTGGCCCCCCGGTAAATCGATGTATCCGGTGACCCTGACAACGGCTTCCTTCAAGTTGAAACGGCAAGTGGGATTGGCGGCACCAGTTTCGCCAGAAATGTAGGGATAACTAGCTTCCGTGTCTATCCCATTTGAATCCCTCACATATTTAAACGCATTGTCCATCAGTCCGCCATTGCATGCGTTGTTGCCGTACTCGGAACTACAGTCAACAAGTTGTTGCTCTGAAAGACTGACAAGGTTGCCGGTTGCCAAAAAATTTTGACCCTCTATCGCACCAGTAGCTGAAAACGCCCAACAAGAACCGCAATTGCCTTGGTTCTTTACTGGAGTAACCGCGCCTTTGATGCGCCAGTCGATTTCCGATGGTGGTGGTGCAGCAACTGCAATGTACTTTGAACCGTCTCTTGAAGTGTTGAGACCACCACTGAAACACCGCAGCTTCCTCAACTCTTCATCAGTCTGAAAACGAATCGTGTGCATAACAAGGCCACTTACCTTATCACTGAATTCATTTATACCCATTGTGTAAGAAACTTGACCCTGGATGAACCGCACGTTATGCTTGCTGATTCTGGCGAAGTTGTTAGCGAAGATCCTGAATCTTCGCTCGTGCTCGGATGCATCAATATAATTTCGGTTGTAAGTTACCATAAAATGCTTCCATATACTGCTTAGGGTAAAATTCCAATCGACTCCGATGAGGTCCTGCATGTGTATTGAGTCTAATGGGGTTAATGGGCTGGCCCCGTTCCAGATACTCATTTTTTGAGCTGGTGTTAATTTCCTCCATTGGACTGTAAGTGAGTCACACGAGATTAGATAAGTACTCCAAAAAGTTGCCAAGATCACCAGAGCGAACATCATGAGAGGAAATCAAACCCGTAACAGCTGGAGGTCGGCTTCCAACCTTTGTGCTTCAGTTCACCACAAACCGTTCACTTCAGTACAGTTTTGTTTGCTGGTCGTAGGATTGTGCTGGTGCTCACACCTGGGAGGTCATTCAATCCGGGCCAGTAAACCAAAATCGTATCAGATGTTGGATGGCATGTCGATGGCGAAGGTGTCAGTAGTGTTAAAATGTTATGAATCAATCGGAGGAATGGTTGGATAGCAAGAACTGAAGCGAGGGTGTTATTACAAACAACAAACTCTTGATACTGGATGCTCGCAGGAGATGTTTGCATAGATACCCCTTGACCAGTGTATCCAACAAGTCCCCCATTATTGTGGAAGCGTAAGGAAGGGAAATCTGACAAACGACAGACAGAAATGTTGTTTATGTAGATCAGTATACAGAATGGAACTCTTCTGAGGGCTACTCGAACAGGAATATGGTTAGCGTATCATCAGTAATGTGAACAGCCACAAAGCCTTCATATACTTTCTGGCAATAATCACCATTCACTTCTGGTATCGGAAGGTACAAAGAAAGGAACACACAGATCAACAGCCACCTGATCAATTACCAAACAATACACCCGAGCTACCAATATTCCAACATATTACCGACATCGAGATGGGTTCCCTCATGAAGAATGCCGATATCCGTCCTAACCAAACTGCGAATCAGAACATCGTGCGTGTAATTCCTGGATCAAATTAGGAGATCCGTTCAACCATTCTTGTCTGAGACGAGCATTGGACGCACACACCCACCCATGCTTCGTGCTACAGTTAAATCGTTCCATTCACCAAACTATCGTGGAAGGGGTACTTCACATGCTAATATCTCGAGTTCTGCTCACAGGGCCTCCCAAAGCTGGAAACTGCTCAAGTCAGAAGACTGTCGTCCACTTCACTTAGTGGTGTTCATCGCTACCCATCTACCAGTAAATGTGCTGAATGTCCTCGCTTTGTCAGTAAACGGGTGAGTACTAACCGGTTAACCAACGGGCTAGCATCCACTGCTTCAACAACGAGTACAATTGTTCGAAGTGGAAGCTTACACCTTGTACCAACTGAGAAAGTTGCTTACCACTGAAGCAGCACGGGTTTGTGTGTGAGAGGCCGCCAATTAGTACTTAGTAGATTTTTCCAGACCATGAATAGATTTCTCTGGTACGGAATTTGTGCCCACCTGGTTGCGAGAATGTTGGGGCGATGTCACTGTGACGGTCAATTGTAACCATTTAAGTTGGATCTGCTTTGTTAGGTAACAAAATATGGCCTCGTTTGAGGAGCTTTTGGTATTTTTGATGGTTGATGTCATATAAGGAACGACTAAGTCATGGAGCCATTGCTTTGCTGAGGTGATCCATATACATGTATATAT